AGGCTAGGGTTATAGAAAAGCAGCTGTAACTAAAGCAGTCATAACATGCACTGTTAATCTTTTTAATATAAATGTTTTTTATGTTTTTGAACTTGAGGGTTTCAACAGCCTTGCCCTCAAAGGAAAAATATTATGATCAAATATAATACACTGATTTAAGGACTGTCTCTTTAAAAGAGCAGAAGAATAAAAGAAAGAGAAAATCCTTTTTGTCTCTGGAATATAAGAGATTAAACAGTATTTGGATGCACAATTACGGTGACCCTGAAGTCGTGGTGTATTTACCACTGCTTGACAAAAGGCTGCCCTGGGTGGAAAGCAAAGGCGTAGGTTTGAACTTATCTCTGGTAGGGACACTATTGGTCTAAGTTGAATTGGTCTGATGTCATTGGTCCTACGCATTATGCATGCTCCTATTTTTTTTAATGCTTGACGTGAGCATCAGAGCGCATTTCGTTTAAAGGGAAAAAAGCATTTTTTGCTACATTTATACAAACTTTATAAGGACTACACTCACAAGATGCTGTTTATCAATGTTTGAAGCATCAGTGGCTCAGAATGATGTAAAATTGGGACAACTTAACACTTTGATAAAGGGTTACATTTGAACTTACCAGTGACTAAGACGGAAGGTAAATACGTGCCTTTTTAACCAAATATAGTCTAAATATCTCTATTATATGTGTATTTATCTGGTGTTTTCTATAGGTAATATGCAGAGGTAAACAGAGGTAAAACCAACTCTTATTTTTTTTTAAATCTGATATGCTGATATTGTCTGTATTGTAAAACAAAGCAAAATAACATATTAAAGGGACTGCAAATAGAGTTATTGTATTTACATGGGCGTTATTTAAAATATTGTCTTCAATATACAAGTTGTGAGAAAAGAAGCGACTGCTGCAGCAACGCTGTATTGTAAATTATAAACATGTTATTTACATAGAATTATTGGTAGGGACAAATAGGTTGGGGCAAAATTTTGGTAGGGACATGATATTTTCCCTATGCAAACCTACGCCCATTATGGAAAGTTATTTTGTCCTTTTAAAAACAGCTTCTGCTCCTATCTGATGAGTGTAAACAAGTGTTGGAGATGGTGTCGCCCAAAAGCCTTCAAGCTGAGTTTGTGTTAACAAAGAAGAAACTATAAAAACAG